ACACCAAGCCACGTAGAGACAGGTAGCCAGGGATGGGATTCAAACATTTTAGCAACGGGATTTTGCAGTATCCTTCCCCTGCCATGCCCACCAAGCCATGCCACACTCACCAAGCCACATCCACAGAACTGGCAGCAAACAATTTTGAATCCCACCACTGACTTAACCATTGCGTTACTAATTTAATAATTCGCTTTAACAAGTGGCAAGAAGAGTCGTAAAATGGGGCAAAGCTGACTTAACCAACGTTTCACTTAGCAACATAGTTTGGGTTCAATTGTGGTCATTAAGTCGAGGACTACCTGCATTTGATGGGTCTGGAAATAGGAATAGGCTGCCTCCTCTGTTCTTTTGGATGATCGAGCAGTAACCAAACCAACATCCCAAACATGCAAGATAAGGGAACTGTTCCATTTGGGCTAGCGCTGACTATGATTTCAAAGAATTCTCCTAGATTTACACAAGAGAATTCCCAACCTTGTTTGAAGAGGCCGACGACGCAGGAATTCTGTGTGCCACAAGCAAAAAATAACTCCCCACCCCACAAACCCAACCCACCCTACGTCGTATCCCCGAGTTGAGAGCTTCCTGCTGTGCTCCCGCCATACCTTGAAGTAATCGCCAAAAGACCAGGAGCCCAGCATCTCAAAGAAAGTGTGATGATACACATCCTTGCCCACATCGTCCAAGTCGTTGTGTTTGCCACCAGCTCGAATGCACTTCTGGGTGTTGACGGCCCGCGTCAGTTTGGCCATGGGATGGGAAGGGTCAATCGTGTTGAGGAAGATGGGCTTGAACTGGGATAACAAAGAAGGAAACAATTCTCAGTTCTGGAGTTCCGTGCAAAGTAGGCTGAGAGCTTTTAAGAAACATTTTTAAAACGTGAGCCACGGTGGCGCCGTGGTTAGAGTGCAGTACTGCAGGCTACTTCTGCTGACTGCCTGCAATTTGGCAGTTCAAATCTCACCAGGCTCAAGGCTGACTCAGCCTTCCGTCCTTCTGAGGTGGGTAAAATGAGACCCAGATTGTTGGGTCCAATAGGCTGACTCTGTAAGCTGCTTAGAGAGGCCCGCCAGCGGCCATTGGAGCTGGCAGCAGATTCGGACGGTGAGGAGGTTGGGGAGGGACATGGGCCAGTCCTAGAGTCTGGGGACGGCTCTGACAAGTGATCTGCATTGGAGGCAGAGATGGGGCCAGGACCGTCCGACAGTTATCAGCTGCCTTCAGAGTCAGAGATCAGTGGGGCAGAAGAACAGCTGGAGCCTGTTCCCAATGTGCACATGCACAAAGCTGCCAGGAGAAGGGAACAGTTAAGGAACAAGGGTTGACTCAGGAGTAAATGCACAGGTGGACGGTGAACGGCCCCTCCCACAGGGAATAAAGAGGAGCGAAAGGGGAGTGGTGTTTGCAGGAGACAATTTGTTTATTTAAGTAGGGTGAAGATTTGTTTGTGACTCTGAGAGACTCCTAGTATTTCCTTGGACAGCTTGTGCTTGGAAGCTATCGGTCTGGCAACTCTCCAAGCCTGACAAGGTCTGTGATTGCAATTCACCCTTGAGAGACTGTTTGCCTGGACTTTGCTGGATGTGAATGATAGGAATTAAATAAAAAGGGGTTTCGTCAAACGACAAGGAGTCGTTTCCTGATTTTGTGAAGCTTAAGTCAGAACAGGTATATAAGCCTAAGTGCTATTGCTATTTTCTTTTTGTCAAATTCCTGGAATATGAAAAAGAGAGTACAATTCCCTCCGACTGATAGGCATCTGTTATCACTGACCTGGTTCATGCCAGCATTGGCAAAGAGGAGGGTAGGGTCATCCAGGGGGATGGTAGAAGACGAGTGGACGTAACGGTGCTGGTTGTCCACAAAGAAATTGATGAAGCATTGACGGATCTCACTGGCTGTCAGGGTCTCCATTGCGAGATCTCCGCCCAGCACTGGTGAGAGAGAGAGAGAGAGAGAGAGAGAGAGAGAGAGGGAGGGAGG